ACCACAAGCCACCCCCTGCGGAACCGGACCAGCGGCTGACTACAGGAAGCCCGAGGCAGAGTTGCTCTGCCCTAGGCTTCCTGGAATCAGCCGCTGATCAGTTTCAGCAGCAGCTGACTTGGGGACGCCTGGGTTTCTTAAGTTGAATCTGTATGTAAGTCAGAACTGGCGTCCAGATTCAGCCACTGTTGAAACTGATCAGTTTCAGCAGCAGCTGACTTGGGGACGCCTGGGTTTCTTAAGTTGAATCTGTATGTAAGTCAGAACTGGCGTCCAGATTCAGCCGCGGTTGAAACTGATCAGTTTCAGTAGCGGCTGACGCCAGTTCCGACTTACATACAGCTTCAACTTAAGAACAAACCTACAGTCCCTATCTTGTACGTAACCCGGGGACTGCCTGTACACAGAATTTTGTATGTGATCAGTAGCAGTAATAAGCCAGAATATTCAAAATCTATTCAAATGTATTATATTGGGGGAGGGTTTAGAACAGAGATGGGCAATCATGAATAGTGGATGCAATGCATGAGTGCCCCTCTTTCACTTCAGTGGATTGCACTGGGACTCCACCTGTCTCACGGATTCTCACTCACAGGCCTCTTGCACAGTGGGGCACTGGAGACCCACATTTTCTTGTTCCTCCCCCTCCAAGCACTTTCAGAGCATGCAAAGCTGATTCGTGCTCGGTCCCCACTCCTCCCCTTCCCAGAGCTGCAACACCATGAAAAACCAATGTGGAGGAACAATCATGGAGCACAAATCAAATGATTCACAACTTCTCAGAAAGTACTGGGAGTGAGCGGGAGGCATAGGAAGTGCAGGTCTCCAGTGCATCAGAGGCACATGAGGAAGAGGGGAACAGTTAGCGGGTCCACGGACCACAGGGGTAGCCACAGTAGGCTATATGTGCCCATCACTGGTTTAAAAGGAAGCGAAGGGATGATGAACCTCTTAGTTAAGACAAATGCAAAGTGAGCTGTAATTCTGATATTTGGAAACAACTTACAAAATGGCAAAGTGCTTCTGTATCAGAGAAATATAATTTTGCCAGATCTTTACAGTATCAGCACAATTGGAAAAGATGTTCTCCTTGCTTTTTCACCAGTGTAGTTCTGTTGTGCAGGAAAGAGGAATGTATGATTTGGAGATGGGGATAGCCGCAAAGTGCAGGTGCAAGTAATGTCAAGATATGTCTTACATATATCTAATTTTCTAACGTTCACCTCACCAGAGGCAGCTAGATCTGTGATGGAGCATAGCAGGGTGTATTCCTTCTTCCCTTTCCCTCTGAATACCTTTCCTACACCCAAACCAGCCCCATGGCTGGATTTTGGCTTTAATATAGAGCAATCATTTATGTCCTTTAGAGGTCCTTCTTATGTATGTAATATGTAATCTAGGAACGACTACATCTGTGACTGTTGAAATTGCTCAGTCTTTTATGAAGGTTTGTGCTGCAGAGAATTTTTGCTTGGCATTCACAGTATTTCTTATGAT